CATCAGTATTCTCGGAAGAGGAAGGCACATTCACCACTTCGGAAACTGTTGGGATACCACTACCGCGTCGTAAGCTGAAGTCACCGCGTCAGAAGCTACAGGAGATGTAACCACAGCGTCGGAAGCTGCTGAAGTCGAACTCACCACGTCAGAAACTGGTTCGGGTAAATTGGCACATGGTGGTTCATAAATTTCTGGATTTGCATGCGGTATACCAGTTTGAGAAGAAGAAAGCCTGTTGTGTAGAGCAAAAGGAAATTTATCCTCATGAAAATTAACATCGCGAGAAATAAATACCTCATTTGATTCCAAATCAAAAAGCTTCCAACCCTTCTTATTGAACGGATAACCAAGGAGAATGCACCGTTTCGATCTAGCAACAAATTTTTCTGATGGTTTAGGCACTACAGTAGCATAACATAGACATCCAATAACTCGCAAGTGATCATATGATGGAGCTTTTCCATGAAGAACTTCAAAAGGAGTTTTGCCATCAAGGAGTTTTGTGGGAGTTCGATTTATGAGATGAGCAGCGTTGAGAATGCAATCACTCCAAAAATGAAGAGGCAGATTACCATCAAATTGTAGTGTACGAGCTACATTAAGACTGTGACGATGCTTTCTTTCCACACGTCCATTTTGTTGGGGTGTGTAGGTACATGATTGCTTATGAAGAATACCAAAATCTGCCAATAAAGTTTGCATCATAGATGACATAAATTCACTTCCATTATCTGTTTGAATGCTTTTTACTGAGTGGAAACCATGTTAAGAAAAAATCGAAAATGTGAATATGTTTCTCCTTTATTTTGCATTAAAAATACCCACACATTTCTACTGTAATCGTCCACAATAGTCAAAAAATATTTAGCACCAGTGAAGGAGACAGTAGCATAAGGACCCAAGAGATCACAGTGAATTAAATCAAAAGCATGCAAGCTGCATTTTTTATTTATTGGAAATGGACTACGAGCCTGTTTAGCTTTAGAACATACATCACAAAAACCAGCATTATTCGAGCTTGAAATAAAAGGAAGCAGTGAAAGATAATGTCGAGAAGGATGACCAAGTCTTCTATGCCACAAAGAGGAAGAATCCGAAATTTGTATTGCATTAGTGAAAATTGACGAATTCCTCAAGACACACACCCCTTCATGTGCATCACCCCATCCAATCGTTGTCCTCAAGTGTTGGTCCTGTAAGATGCAATTTTTGTCAGTAACTGAGAGACTGAAATCAGGTTGCAGGTGAGAGATGGAACATATAGCACATTAGTTAGAACTAATGAAGAAGTTAATGAAACAGTGCCACTCTTTACTGCAATTGTTCGATTTCCATTAGGCAAACCCACAGAACAAAGGGATATGGATCGAATATCAGATAAAAAAGCAACGTTACCAGTCATGTGTTGGAATGCACCACCATCAATAAGCCATGAAATAGAAGTATGTGTGTTACCAGAAAGCTTATCAGATGACTGTTTAGAATAATCAACCAGAGCCGGCAGTTGTTGAAGCACTTCCGGTGTAAGGCTCGGCAAAGAGGTAGTACCAATTGTGGAATTTTTTGGTTGGGTGGTGATAGTGTGCTCGGCTTGGGCAGAAGAGGCAGTAATTTTGAAATTTTTTCTTGAAGCAGCCATGGTTCTGGGCCCAGATCTTTTGGCTCATGATACCATAACAAGAATATTTGAAATATGTGACTTGATTGATTGAACAGCTAAAGGCTTGTTTAAATAAAGCCATGATACAAAAGGAAAACCAAAACAACCTAACTAAAATCTTATCAGAATACTTAAACTATCCTAAAAATAATACAAAAGATTTACACTTATCAAGAATATTAGCTAACAACTCATATCAGCGAGCGGAGGTTCAAATGTCTGTCCCAGTTGTCCAAATCATGAGGAAACTATTATTCATGTTCTTCGTGATTGTAGACATGCTAGGAAAATTTGGCAATCTTGGTTTATAGGTTCGATACCCAATTCCGTTATGAATTCGAATTTGCAGGATTGGTTGACTTTAAATATCGATAACATGTGGTCCTCCAATAAAGTGAAGGACTGGAGGGATATTTTCTTTACTACTTGTTGGTTTTTGTGGAAGTGGAGAAATTTGGAGATCCATGAAGATCATTTCTGTCGTGATGAGCAATCACAGGCTTCAATTTGGATGTTTGTCCAACAGATTCTGCAAGCCCGAATTTATCAGCGCCGTGGTGATTCCAACGATAGCGTTTGGACAGCCCCCAAGCAAGGGTGGGTTAAGTTGAATTGTGATGGAGCTTCTTCTAGTGGCATGAAAAAAGCTAGTTGTGGTGGTATATTAAGAGATCACAATGGATCCTTTTTGGGAAGCTTCTATTGTAATTTAGGTTCCTGCAATCCTCTTGATGCAGAATTATGGGGATTACTGAAAGGTTTGGAACTGCTTTGGGGAACAGGATTAAAAAGAATAGAGCTAGAATGTGATTCTAGCCAAGCCATCCAGATGTTAAAGGAGCAGCATGAAGATCCTAGGGACTCTCAAGTCACTAGCAGATTGAGATTATGGTTAAAAGCAGATTGGACTATTCATCTTGTTCATACCAAGAGAGAAAACAACAAATGTGCTCATTGGTTAGCTAAAGCTGGGCAAACTAATAATCTCCATTTCAAGATTTTTAAAGATCCTCCTCCTCAGTTGATGGAACTTATAGTTGCTGATGCTAGAAATATGTCTAGCTTGTTAGTTTCTGATTTGTATTTTCTTTCTGTTTCTGGGGCTTAGCCCCTCTTTATTTACAAAAAAAAAAAAAAGAATAACAAATTAATCTAACAAATTAATCTATACAATCTTATCCCAATAGAGTCTACAACATGAAATATCTCATATTTAACAACATAAGAAAATGGAAACTCATATATATAGGGCTTCTCGTTTTTCAAATTGCTTAAGATAACTTTATCTCCAGTCACTAAATCATAACCGTACAAAGATGGATCAATGGTTATAACGGAATAGAGTGAAAAAGAGAATCATAACTATTCAAAGTTGAATAAATTAATATAAGGAAATAAATAAACAAAACGACGTAGTTTTAGGGTAATCAAAAATAAATATATCTCAAGCAGCTTGAGAAATATTTTTCTCATATATATATATATATATATATATATATATATATATATATATATATATATATATATATATATATGCAGATAATAACTTTTCCTGCAACATAAGAAGTTATTATCATTCCTACAAACACAATCAACCACGAGAGAGAAGAGCATGAAGAAAAATAAAAAGAAAAACAATGGGATCCACCATTGCTTGATTATGCTAGAAGAGTAACAGGAGATGTTTAAACCTGATTATCCGACTAATTTAGTTTAAGTATGTCAAACTCTTTATAGGAGATAGTTTTCCCAAGATTTCACCCCTAGAGCTCGAATTCGAATCCCTTCATTACAAAGAATAAACTCTTTATCACTTGAATCAATAATTATTGATAAACATAAGTCTAATCCAAGTAAATAATCACAAGTGTTTATAATATTTCACCCCTAGAGCTTGAATTTGAATCCCCTCATTATAGAGAACAAATTCTTTATCACTTGAATTAATAATTATTGATAAAAATAAGACTAGTCCAAGTAAATAATCACAAGTGTTTATAATTGTATAAATTATTTTACCACACAATGAAAATATAAGTAAATTTATAAAATTTGGTAATTTTTCCATAAACTTTGCTTCTTTGAGAAGTTAGTGATATCCCTTAATCATCAATTGTTGAAATTTAGTCATTTTTCTTACATATTTGAAATATAATTAAAATATTATAATTATATTATAAACAAGACATATCATTAACTCCTAATTGTTAAGAATATAGATACTCTCTTAAAAGCTTAATTCGATATGCTTCAAGGGTGAAAGGGAGAAGAAATGAAAGGATCGAAAGAATAATATAGATTTCCTCGTTGATATTTTTGTTTGCTAGATCCTCATTGATATTAATTTACTATAATAACGAATCTGGTCAGATAGCATTTGGTAAACCAACCATTTTCTCATTCTCTCGAATGAAAGGAAAGGAAGCAAGTTTGTGCATCCTATAATACATTTCATTTATGGGTAAAGTGTGTGTCATTTTAAAGGATGTAAAGTTATGTCATTTTAAGAGAGAGAAATAGATAAAGGAGGAGAGAGAATTGACAAAAAAAAATAAAGTCTGAATCTCACCTCTTTGTGAGAGAGGAAGGATAAAAGTTATGTTCTCTTCATTTATTTTACATAACCTTTCATTCTTTTCCTTTATATATATATTTTTTAAAAAAATAAACATTCTTCTCCACTATTAGATACCACACGTCATAGTTTTTCTTATTTTCAACATTCTTTTCCTTTCTCCATTACAGGCGTATAGAAATCTCCGTAACTTTAGAGCATATTTGAACACTATTTTTAAAAATAATTTTTTTGATTTTGAAAAAGAAAAAAAAAACCTATTTTATAAAAGGAGTTCTAAAAATTAAATTTAGAGAACACATTTTGAGTTGTTTTTATTTTTAGTTTTAATTTTTAACTTTCAAAACAAAAAACACATATTTCAATAATTATTCTACAAAACAATTTTAAAAGTAAAAAATACAGAACACAATCAATCAAACATTCAACACATTTTGATAGTATAAATGAGATTATTATCATTACTAAAACCACTTTCACCCCAATACCAAAATGATGTACATGGTATCTGATATTCAATAACTCCTAAAACTATCAATTTGCTGTGACAAAAAATTAGATTCTAATCAATCTCTCAAGTGGACAACAATTGTCTTAATTCCCACAACGAAATTGCGTCGTGCACCGAGTTCGAATAGAGGTATTGTACAAAATTGTTTAGTAAATCAACTTCGCTTCCATTGCTATTTCTCTCATTTTCTGAAATATCAGCCATCAACATCATTATTTACACTTTCTTTTATATATATATATATATATATATATATATATATATATATATATATATAACTTAAGCTGGATAAAGAGTTGGTTAGTTAAAAAAGAAAAACATAAAACGCAGAACCATCACATGAATTATAAACTAAGCCAAAAATTGCAAAGGGAAAAAAAATATTAATCAAGACCAGACACTGACGTCACGCTTGACAGCCAACTGGGATGGAACAAACTCCTTGCAAGTCTGCATCAAAGTAGGAGGGGACAGTCTTGTGCTAAATTTTTTGGGTAATTGATAAAGCCCTGAGTATCAACTTAGGACAAATCATGTCATAACCAAAAATGGTTCAGTAATGAAAGTACACAGTTAGTGAGCTAACAACAAATTAACAGACTAGTAATGAATCTAAAATGCCAAACACAACTGCAAAGAAACTTTAAATTAATAATCGATTTAGATGACAATGAACTTGAATGCACAGCACTGGCTGCTAAAGTAAAAAAATTAAACGAATGGAATATAATGTAATAAGGAAAACAGGTCAGACGCTACATGTAAATGTAGGGAAACAAAATCAATATGCATCGGAGTTACTTGGTCGTATCACCTTGGATACTTCCTTCCCACAAGCCTTCTGATATACAAGTTAAAATTGATTTAGATCAGCGACAATCGCAATATAGTAATTAAAGAGATTCGAAGAAAACAATATTCTCAACTAGTTTGGATACTTAAGCTCAGAATTTTTGAAGTTATGCACCAATCATATTGGGTACTGTTTTTAAGCAAATGGAAGAATTTAAAATACCCTGCGAAGAGGTGGAATATAGAAAACCCCAGCTTCATGCTAGTCCAACATCTCCTCCCTCCCCAATCCCGACACCTGCAAACATGGACAGACTCAAGCAGCAATTATATCGAGTACTGTTTTTAAGCAAATGAAAGAATTTAAAATACTCTAGCAAAGAGGTGGAATATTGAAATCCCCAGTTTCATGCCTGTCCCCCTCCACAACCCCGACACCTGCCAACATGGACAGACTCAAGCTATCACTCTGTCGCCACGGATGCACTCTCCAAGCTATTCTACCACCATTCCAAGCGCAGAGAGCCATTGACATTTGTATGACAATACTTAAGTTGCCATTTCAACAAGTTGGTCGATAGTAGCGAAAAGCTCTTTTCGCTGGTGAAGAAAAACAACATTGAAACTTGACTCAACAGTCAAGTTTCATGCAAAGAGGTGGAATATTGAAATCCCCAGTTTCATGCCTGTCCCCCTCCACAACCCCGACACCTGCAAACATGGACAGACTCAAGCTATCACTCTGTTGCCACGGATGCACTCTCCAAGCTATTCTACCACCATTCCAAGCGCAGAGAGCCATTGACATTTGTATGACAATACTTAAGTTGCCATTTCAACAAGTTGGTTGATAGTAGCGAAAAGCTCTTTTCGCTGGTGAAGAAAAACAACATCGAAACTTGACTCAACAATATGATCACATACCAAGAGACCAGCTTGTACGTTCTAAAGGAGATGAATTCCATCGCCACTGGCGTGATTCAGAATTTGAAAATGACCATGAAAAATTCTACTATTGAGCACACTATCCACTAAGGCTGTTTGAATGCAAGGGTTTTCAGGAGAGATTCCACCTAAGACTTTCGGAGTGGATGTGCTCGATAGAACAAAGTTCGCTAGGCAAAGGCTCAAGTGGCAATAAAAAAGAGCAAGAAATTATGTGAAGGGAGAAATTTTGACGCTGCTACAGTCCAAAAAAAAATTGTGAATGTCAGAAATAGATTTGTAGCAATTCAATTTCTCTATATTTTAATTTAATTGAAATTTTGAAAAGCTAAACCCAAATACAGCCTACATGAGCTTTAGAATCACCCCACTTCCCAGTGCACGTGCACACCAAAAAAGAAAAAAAAAATCTGCGTTGTATTAAGATATTATTCAATAATATCAAGGCTGTATGCTAACATTTTAAAGAAAATACAGTTAAAAAATATAAGAATCTACCAAGGTTGCAACGTTAACACGATGTCTTCAATGCACCTAATTAGAACTCAATTAACAATCGAAGAAACCCTACAAACAACATAAATAATTGCACAGACAACAACAGAATGAATCTAGCCTCAATGTGAACAGAGATTAAAACTCTGCTCTACGTCAAAACAGTCATGGAAGTTCAACATTTTTCTTAATGAAAAAATAAATAAATAAATAAATAAAAATACACTATAATGCATTGTAAGATTTCAAATTAAGAGAATAATGGTGCACTGCTAGAATGTTTAATGGAATTTCAAAGGAGAAGTAAAGATATCAGACATTTTGAATTAATGACAACACACCTCCATACACAGAAATAGCTCAAGCAAGAAGAAAGGGAAAGAGCTATGGTGGAAACATACATTTGCGTGCCTATTTGCATTTTACTTTACAAATTATTAGATATGGTAAAAGAGCTTAAAACATGTGTGCGCCTATTTGAAAGGATAAAGTATATATGTCGCTTGCTTTTCAATTGACAGGATAAAGTATTAACGTAACATGAAGAAAATCCACATGGCATGCAAATAACTGAAATAAACTGCGATTATCTGAACAAATGTACTATAATAACTCTTCCATACAAGTTGCTGCAGCAGCTTTAAGAAAGTTCATGCCCTGACATTACATGGTAAGTGTGAGTTCTAAGCAGACCCGAAATCTGCTATATTAGTGAAAGGCACAAAAACATCATAGCAAACAGTGGTCAGAAATTTCTTATCTCTGTAAGAAAATTATTGGTAGATGTCACCAATTAATTTGCAGAGAGAAAGAAGCAAACCTAGCATCATATTTAGCCATTGGAAGCAAGGCATGGAAGCCTCCTACACTGGCCCTGGAAAAATGTAGTCGATTCATCAATAACAATAAAATGGTGGAAAATTTGGTTCTATAAAATTACAGCTAAACAAAATTTATCCAAATTAAGCAATATTTTAAATTGAGACATACTACTATGAACTATAATCAGGTTGTACAAGTCATTTCCATCTAGTTGCTAATCATTGGTAGGCAAATAAATCAACAATCAAATGAATATCGCAGAGTTGCAAATCATTGAGGGTGTTGAAGCTCACAACTCATAATGTTGAAAAGGACAATTAGGACATAAAAAAACCAAGGGCAAATAAATAAAGGGCATCATAACTTGATATTTCATAATGAGAGTAGAAACATAATTTCCATAATACAGAATGAACACGAAAAAAGGATGATTCCAAAAAATGTCTTCTCTTATTCAGAACCTAACAATTCTGTACATAGATCAAAGGAAAAATGAAAAATTGTAGGGTGACATCCACTTTGTAAACATTTAAAAATGCTGACCAGCTGAAACTAGGTTCTTAATCCCCATCAAATGTTCGTCATTTGAAATATTGAGTGAAATACGAAGATTAGTCAATAATTCTTGTTGTTCCCAACTTAAAGGACCAGACACATACATTGCCATTAAGGTACCGTGATATGCATGCAACTCTAACCTATGAATTCTTTCAGCTAAAACCTCTTTTGGAAAAATAGGGCATCCTTTATCCACATCTCCAACATCTAGAGATTCTGCATCACTACAAAGGGTATCTTCATCTTGGCAAGGACCTGCAGATGTATCACTGAAAAATTTATCTGTACTACTACTCATCACACTACAACTGCCGACTGAACTCAGATCATTACAAGAATAATCAGGTTCTTCAACTCTTTCAAGAAAGAGTGTTGTAACATTACAAGGATTCTCCTTCCCCATTTCATAATATTGGTTGGTACCATTAGTAAAGGAAGTATACATGCAATTTTCACCCATATTATTTTGTGGGTAAGCAATAGCATCTACCTTTTCAAGAAAGGGGGCTGTAGATACTGCTTTGAGTCTTTCACACTCACCCTTATTCATAACAGCCCTCTCTTTTCTGGGATAGGCCTCAATAGGAGAGGAGTTGTAAGGGGATGCTCTCTTCAATGTTGAGGAAAAGGTAAGATGAGGCTCCTCGAGACCACTAGAACCCAATCTGGGTAAGCAAAATTTTCTGGCTTGCTGAACTTCAGGTATCACCTTATTACTGTTTGAAATCAGATTCCAGCTAGACTTCCCAGATGCAGAATTACCTAATCCCTGAGACAATCACAAGAAAATGTAAGGACAAAGCACAGCAACAAATTACATAGTATTAATGGAAAATAAAAATTACCTCAATTCTCTAGCAATATGAGTACTAACATAAAGGGTAAAACTATTTAACGGAACAGTTATATTCTAACACTAAGCAAACTACCAAAACAATGAGAATACTTGCTAGTTAGGAATAAAATAAAAATAAGATGATAAGCAAAGTTGAACTTGGTATATTACGGAAAAAGAAATTTACCATTGGCTTAAGGACCCATTGACCATTTTGCCAAGATTGGCGCACCCTCATGTTTACTTTGTGGACCTTTAACTCCTTGCAAGATACCCACAACCTAACCAAGTAGAAGTTCCCACCTATGACCTTCAAAACAGAAGCAGCTTTCCAAGAACCAACATCGTAAACCTCCACAAGATCATTAGCTGCCCAACTCTCAATACCTTTAATAAGAGGGGGACATGGTCTGATAGCCTTCCTGGGAACTCTCTCCATACTAGCCTCACTTGGCATGCTAGAACAGTCATACTGGACATTGTAAGTGTGCCCATTACCAGAAACAATATGAGCACAACGCCATTCCACACTAAGCCTCTCGGTATTGCTTAGGATCTCCACTTTACTTCCCTTTTTGAATCTCATTGTGACTACTTCAATTCAAACTCAAACCTGTGACATTCATGAATAAATTTTATTACTTATTTGCAGAACAGAAAAATCTCACAATTATTGATATTTGATACACTAAAAGGATTATAGAGATTTTTTGCTTGTTCAACTACAAGAAAATCTTCAAGAATATTTATTTCTCAGCGGTGAAAACATAATCATCACTCGTCAGTCAAGATCTTTTAATGTGTTTTACATATATATGTATATGTGTATATACACATACATTTACATATACATATACAGACACATCTATGTGTGCGCGCGTGCAAAACCATATATTTCACTGATTATTTGTAACAACGAGAAAATAAAATGTCATATTGTTAAGTTGATTTCGAAATATCATTGACATTGCTGTTATTTGAAAAGTAATTAGAAAATTATAATAATTATAATACACAGACAAACAATACAATAAAATACAAAGGATCGGGAAAATAGAGAGAGATTACAAATCAAAAATCACGCAGGCAACTACCACGAATCGAAGTAGCAGCACGTTAATTGCAAAAGATGAAATAAAGCATAACCAATGTAATCAAATGAAGAACGAGAACACTGACCTTTATCGGCGATTCACGATGTAAGATCGCTTAGAGTCTTTGACCTAATCGCCGCGATTCCCTTTGATTCTTTCTTTCCAAGGGAATGAGTTTTGAAACAACGTAAAAATTAGGGTTTCTGAGTATCTATGATCAATATTAACAGAAATGTGCTTTCTGCGGTTTCAAGGAATATAAATAATAACTTGAACACGGTCGCGGTGGTAGATGGGCCGCATAAGTTTGAATCGATATTTATGGGCCTTTGCAGCCTTGGTATTTTAAAAAATTTGCAGGTTTTTTTTTTTTTTGGTGGTACAGAATATAAGTAAATAAAAAAAAAACTTGTTTAAATAAAAAATAAGTTTAGAATTTATGATAATTAAATAAATTGAAAAATATAAGAAAATCTTAAATATAAATTTAAAAAAAAAAAACTCAACAAAATTAACATGAAATTGCTTCTTCTTTTTTAATTCATGATTCAAACAGGCTTACATATACATCACTTGAGTTCAAATTTCATGTATTTAATTTATATAAGGTGTTTGGATTAATTTCTTTTGGATGTAAAATAATGTAAAATTTTTATTGAATCTTTTAAAATTAATCTAAAGATTTTATTCAAATCCCTAACATTAGAATATGACACATACTTAATTTATTTAGGCACGTTTGGTAAACATGATAGTGAAAATATGATAGGATAAATCATCATACCCAGCTCTTATTTATTATTTGATAAGATAAAATGATATTGTAGATTTATCTTGTTGATTCATTTTATCTTTTTCGTAGTCTTACAGGTCATGATAAGGGTATTGGATTAAAATTCAATAGGATAAAATAAAAAAAGTATCCTTCTAAAGTTCCTAAGAACATAAAAGTTTGTTCTGCCACCACCTTTCTAGTTATTGTCACTAGGCAAACACTATTGTTATCGTCGCCACTGGCAAACCATCAATTGAAATTAAATAATTATTAAAATAATCTGTTTAATGTTTCTGTTTTTATTATAAAAAAAATTTGCGTCACACTAACATAAAAATGAATGGATCTACTAATCTTTTGTCTCCCTTCCCTTTACAATATGACTCAATCACTTTATAAAAGTGTGACAGATAAATTGGTTTTGCAAGAACAGCTAAATATCTTCCCTTTAAATAATAATGTGAAGGAGGATAAGTCAATAAGGTAAAGAGAGTAACAAAGAGGGTCACGATGCGAAGACATAAAAGGATGTTATTCCCCAGTTGAGTACGAAGAAAGCTAAAGGAGCAACTATAGAAAATCGTTATAGATGATAAGATGGGTGAAGGGGGTTAAGAATGAGAACAGAAGAATGTGAGTTAATTTTACATGAGTAACAAAGATAATCGTTATAGAAAATTAACATGAGGACAGAAGAAAAATCATGGTAAGAATGAGAATCTCAACAATTTTCGCGAAATGTAATCTCATCTAAGGATCCCTCCTCTGTCTCAATGGTGATGTGAATAACATAGTGGTGAGGATGCTGATACTATATTTAATTGAATGTCAAATAGTACTAAGAATGTGAGTTGGTTTTATAAGAATAACCCCGTTTTCCAATCTCTTTTTCAAAGCAATCTTTTAGTTTTTTTACAAAAAAAAGGGGCACAGCCCCAAAACAAGCAAAAACAAACATAAACCATAGCAGAAAAAATAAAACAATATAGAATAGCAAATAAAACAAGACTGAAGCGGGATAGCTTAGGGGGCGGTCTCTAAGATCAAGTCTGTCAGCCGGAAAGAGGAGCTGCAATTCAAGCTTGGGATTGGGAGAGGAAAGAGAAGAGAGAGAGAGACCATAGTTTTTCATAATGGCTTCCAAACCCCTTGCATTTTGTGCAACATCTCCAATACCACAGTTAACCATAACTTTTGTTAATGGTTTCAGAGAGACATTGAAAGAGAGAAAGAGTGAATAAAGAGAGAGGAACAAAAAAGAACGAAAAATGAAGAACGAAAGAATAAGAGGGTTAATTTCGTCAGGAAAATCATGGCAAAAATTTCCACCGGATGGGAATATCAAAATATCACCCCTCAGGTGGTATTTTTACATGGAATTATGCTTCACAAATCAAAATCTCGAGAATCCGATTTTTTCAGAAAATTTTTTACATTTCATTGTTTCAAATGAGAGAAAATAATATTCTGAATCCACTTTTCCGGTATTTCAAAATATTTCCACGTATCAAACACCGCGTTTGGAACATGGTTTTTTCTCGGATTCCCGGAAAACTGAAATTTTTAAAATTTTAAATTTTCAGATATTATCGTAAGCTGAATGTAAAAATCATATTTTTAAAAATTGAGATTCCCGGACAAATAAAAATTTCTCCTATACCAAACGCCTAGTAAGAGTAATTGGCATGAAATGTCATCTTAGTTATATGACCTTTTGTTTCATGTATGATGTGTTGTCGTGGATTGTAACGTGAAATTGGTTGCAAATTGCATTAAAGAAGATTGTCCATATTATTATATCGCTGACACGGTGATATAGATTGATGCCACGCCAAATTACTGAAAATTATATAATGTTCATTCATATAATTAAGTATTTAACAAATAAAAATTGTTATAAATATATTTTTATAAATTAATATATCAGTATATAAATATAATAATTTTATTCTCATATTGATATCTTTTCTATCTTCTTTTTTTAAGTTGTCTTTTAGTTTTTGAATTATACTTGTGTTTGTTGAGATTAATTTATCTTTTAAGATATGTAAATATCAGGATCCGAGAGATTTATGGGTAATTCGTGTATATAAACTATACAATGGATGATCTATCTTCTTATATTCTAAGGCAAAGCCATTCTTTGGCAACTTCTGACACGTGGCTGCTTCTTCTTCTGACACGTGTTTGCTTTCACACTACACAGTTCAAAAAGTTTTCTTTTTTGGTAATTCAGGGAATAAAAAAATTCAAAAAAAAAATTATAATCTGCACTAAAAATTGATGGCCACGATTTGCTATCCAAAAGCAATGGTTTAGATCTGTTCTCATCTTTATTGGGACACAGCTCATAATCCTTTAAAATTTTAATTGTGGAAGGAAAGAGAAAATTTTAAATTTTGAAAACTGACAACTCAGTAAATGTTCACCTGCTTTGTTCATTGAAATTGTTAAACATTTAACAAAACCCTAAACGCCTTCTCATCTTCTTCTTCCTCCTGTTCTTCTGTGTTCTATTTTTTCCCAGCTGTTGTTCGTCGTTCTTTTTGTTGTTCGTCGCTCGCCTTCTCATACCGTTTTTGGTTTTGTTGCTGCTTTTCATCTTCGTTTTTTCCCAGCTGTTGTTCGTCATTTTTTTGTTGTGAGTCGTTCGTCGTTCGCCTTCTTGCATAACGTATGGGACTATAAAATCTGTTGAGAGCAAATACAACTGGTGGTACAAGTCTTGGAAAAAATGTTCATTCTCTGTTTTAGAGGATTTTGAAAAGTGGTACTGTAAGAACTACGAAAAACATTGGGAAGATTACTATCTGAGGTATTGTTTTTGCTCGGTTTTTAAATTGTGTTTAATATGTAAGCTGAATTTTTTATTTTTTTACTGATGTACAATTTTGCAATCGCATAGATTTAGTGTTCAGGTAAGAGTCGTGGATAACACAGATTCCACATCATTTCTTCTGTTTGATCGCGACTGTGTGTCTTTGCTGGGGATGAGTGCTGCTGAACTGCGCAAGCTGCATTTCAAAAGGGTTTGTATTATTTTTGCTATAAAATATAAATAATGTAAATACTATCAATGGGCTTCTTGTTGTATATTGGATGACCGTATTTTTTTTTTCCTAGGGTGCGGATTTGGATCAATTTCCAGATGAGTTAAATGTTTTGAATGAGAAGTCCATGTTGTTCAAGCTAAATATCAAACAAAAGGATTTGAACTCATTCAACGAGCCCACATATCAAGTTTCTAAAATTTGTAGCAACGAAAAGATAATCTCATCGTTCCTTAAGTCTCTTAACTCTGACGTCAATCCAGATGTATGCTGCTTCTCTATTTCTGTTGGGTATCATTTTTTACAAATTCATTTCGTTGACTGTTTTTGGTTATTGTATATCACAGGATGAAGCAAATTTTGAGGAAGCAGGCGAAAATGAAGGTGGATCATTAGGACCGGAAAAGGCTGCGGTAACAAAATAATTTTTTATACATTTTCATGTTACGCGTAAGTCCATACCTGACATACCTTTGTTTTCTTTTTTTTACCGAATTATTAATAGGATGTTGAGAGTCAAACCTGTGATAGTACTGACGTTGGTGATATCTCTCTCACAATGTAGACACCATTGATCTATTCTCATGATTCCATTGCTGGAGAATTCAATCTTTCAGCTGTTCGGACAGCCAAGAAGATAAAGCTTGAAAAAGAGTTACGTATTTTCAAATCCATTCTCATGATTTCTGTCCTTTTTTTTCCTATTTCTCAATGCTGAATACTGTTTTTCTATTTTCTCAATGTCACATATGTTTTTTTTTTTCCTTTTTACAATGCTAATTTTTTTTCAGCAACCATACTTCAAGACTATAACTTATGTATTCTTTGTTTTTTTTTTCCTTTTCGTAATATCATGTGCTGATCGGATTCTATTGCTAGAGCTCTTTCCGTCGTATGCTTATATATCATTTTCAATGCTGAATACTGTTTTTTTTGTTTTCTTTTTATATAAAATACAAGTCTGTCACATATGTTTTTTTTTTCTTTTTACAATGCTAATTTTTTTTTTGGCAGCAACCATACTTCAAGACTATGACTTATGTATTCTTTGTTTTTTTTTCCTTTTCGTAATATCATGTGCTGATCGGATTCTATTGCTAGAGCTCTTTCCGTCGTATGCTTATATATCATTTTCAATGCTGAATATTGTTTTTCTGTTTTCCTTTTATATAAAATACAAGTCTGTCACATATGTTTTTTTTTCCTTTTTACAATGCTAATTTTTTTTTTTGGCAGCAACCATACTTCAAGACTACGACTTATGTATTCTTTGTTTTTTTTTTCCTTTTCGTAATATCATGTGCTGATCGGATTCTATTGCTAGAGCTCTTTCCGTCGTATACTTATATATCATTTTCAATGCTGAATATTGTTTTTCTGTTTTCCTTTTATATAAAATACAAGTTTGTCACATATGTTTTTTTTTTCCTTTTTATAATGCTAATTTTTTTTTTTTGGCAACAACCATACTTCAAGACTATGACTTATGTATTCTTCGTTTTTTTTTCCTTTTCGTAATATCATGTGCTGATCGGATTTGTTTGCTAGAGCTCTTTCCGTCGTATGCTTATATATCATTTTCAATGTTGAATACTGTTTTTCTGTTTTCCTTTTATATAAAATACAAGTTTGTCACGTATTATTTTTTCCTTTTTACAATGCTAATTTTTTTTTTCCCAGCAACCATACTTCAAGACTACGACTTATGTATTCTTTGTTTTTTTTTTTCCTTTTCGTAATATCATGTGTTGATCTGATTCCATTGCTACATCTCTTTATGTCGTATGCTTATATATCATTCTCAATGCTGATTACTGTGTTTTTTTTTTCTTTTTAGAAAATAGATTTAATGCAGAAGCAGATGATAATACCCCGTAGATCAGCACACTGTGTCTTAAGAGTGGTTTTTTTGTGTCTTGCAGACAAGATCTTTACTGAAGTGTGGTTTTTTTGTTGGAGTTAAAAAAGACACACCACACTGTGTCTTGGAGAAAGTTCACGTAGTTTTCTTATGTTTTGTTGTGTTTATTTCAAAACAATACTTGCACCCGCAATCGAATGTATGTTGATATATTTGTTGTGTTTTTTGCAATACCAACTTAAGTTGTTCATTTGTGTCGTGTTATGTTATCTGTTGTTGTGTTCCCTTTTTCTTACTCAAAACATGTCTTTTTGATCCAACACCAAACAAAGGTCGACTGCTAAAATTTGTTTCCTGTTTTAATGGAACAAAATAGGTACTTTTATTTCAAATTTATGTTTCTTATTTTTAATATTTACAACTTCAAAAATTGATTGAATTTTTTTATCACTGGAATTCAAAGTATGTCTTTTATATCCAAAAAAACAATTTTTAACTTTTACTTTTGAATTTTTGTTACCTACTTAAAAAATTTATAGTTAATAACATGTTATGGTACAATAATCATGACCAGAAAATAAGTTCCAAAAAAATCAATCTTATGTTTCCTACTTTTTAAATTCAAATTTATAATTTTTATTATGCTTTGATAATTAGCATTCAAAGTATGTCTTTTTTTATCTGATTTTTTCTTTGCTATTTTTAATGTGACGAAATAAATAATTTTAATTCAAATTTAATGTTTCTTATTTTATAAATTTCAAGTTTCAAATTTTATTAACCTTTGATCATTGGAATTCAAAGTCTGTCTTTTTTTATCCAAAATAAAAAATAAATAACGTCTATGATAGAATAATCATAATAACAAAATAAAGTATTTTAATTCAAATCTTTTTTTCTATTTTTAAAATTTCAAGTTCGAATTTTGAGTAAGCTTTTATCATTGGAATTCAAAAAGATAGTAAGTTTAAATTTATTTAAAGTTCTTATTTTTTATCTAAGAAAATACGTGTATAACAACTAAAAAGTGTGTTTTTTTATAAAAAAAATTTAAACTTGAATTATTTTTTATCCTTAATTCAAGCCAAAAGTTATAAAACATAAGTTATTATCCCTAACAGGTTATTTCTTTTTGTTCCTCTTTTTTCCCTTCTGCGTTGTTTCTTTTTGAAAATATAATTGGAATTTGGAACGACGGTCTTGAAACTATCCTCATCTCTCATCGAAACGCTGCCATAGTTTTGGAAATCGATGGGCATGATTAAAGGTTTAATGATTTTGCAGGAAATACGACGCTCCATATTCCATTCTACCAGTTCACGTGTTCAGCCAATCAGCTGGAGAACATTAATGTCGAAGCTTCCTTCGAAGATGACCAGGCGAAACGTCGCCCTTAATCGTTTGGCTGTGTATTTCTTCAGCGTCATTATACATGACAGAGTCGTTTGTTTTTTGTCATCGTCTCATGTGTCTGCTTCTTTCTTCCAAAATTGTTCATCCTCATATTTTACCATGCATGCTTCATCGTCAAAGAAAAAAAAGAAAATGGAGATCACCGGTGGAGAGTCCCTGAAACATCTGCCATCGGATGTGTTGCTGCTGATATTTGGAAAGGTGGCGTCTCATTCAATTGAGGACATAACTAACTTGAAGCTTTCTTGCTGGGGATTTTATTATCTAGCCGAATCAAATTATGTGTACGAGCGTGTTTCGCTGGATAAGTTTGCGCTGGGACCATTGGAGTGGGTCACAAATGCCAAGCCTTTCCTTCATCGAGTTAGGGTCAATGGCAGTGAAGAAGAAGAAGGTGAGGCGTACTACAACCCAGATCAAGTTTACAAAAGGTTTCGACAAGTTGTGTTTTTGAAGCGTTGTAGGGACACTGGCAATCCGGAGGTGTTGTATCGTGAGGGCTTGGTCAATTACTCTCGAGAGACATCGACTGCTGATGTGCAAGCTTTGGCTCTTCATGCCATTAAGACTGCAGCAGAGAAAGGTCACCACGATGCCAAGTACGCATCTTCCATCATATTGATGGCCAGTGTTGATGAAAGGGAGAGGTCTATGGGCTTTGAATTTTTTCGTTCACTGCACGACAAGTGCCTTTTGAGGCCATGCAGACAACGTGTCAGACTTTTCATCAGGTTGTTATGGGTGCGCAAGGAGATGGATTATCCAGGAATTCCCATTTGCAATCCCAGCATATGTGAAACGCGATTCACTGAGGATGACCATTCGTTGTCAGAGAACCATGAGATTGGTAACATGCTTGGGTATAGGGTCTATCAACGTTGCAAGGCGGATTTTGAAGTCCACTTATTTTGCATAATGACTTTAATATGATTGAGTTTCTGGTGGTGTTGGTTTAGGGTGTTTTTTTTATCTGTTTTGTTATTTTATGTGTTGTATTTTCTTTTTGGTATCTTTGAAGTTCTGTTATTATGTTATCTGAACTTTTTAAGCAATGAATGTTTACTGTTTTTTTCTTTTGGTATCCAGCGAACGAATGTGCAAGTTGTGCTTCTGTTATTATTAATAGGATGTTTTGTTATTTTATGTGTTGTACATTTTTTAGGAATGAATGTGCAATTGTGCAAATACCTGAACTTTCTAAGGAATGAATGTTTACTGTTTTTTTCTTTTGGTATCCAGCGAACGACTTTATAGACACTTTCTAAATTTTTTTTGGTACATGCATATATAAAATGGATAAACGTATGACTATTTCAAACGTAAATAAATGTATGACTATAAAATGGTTCGGGTTTGTACCAAGCAGCAAACTCATAGCTACATGGATAAAGAATTTTCTACTATAGCTACTGTCTTTTTCTTCTTTTCTTTTCTTTTCAAGATAAAGGGTATTATTATAAAGTCAGTTTTTATGTTTTTTGGTTTTACCAAATATCCTTAATTAAGTGTTGAACCAAGAGTTAAATTCAAGTACTTAAGGTCTTACACTTTTTCTTTTGTTATCTTATGAACTGGGAGTGTGACCAATTACTGTAGTATGTAGGATATGGTGGAATGACCCAGGCTGCTGCATCCCCCACTATGAATTGCGTAGCATAACAGTGACAAATGAATGTGCGAAACAATATTGCTGAAAATGAAAGAACAAAATCGTTTTGATGCTTCAACATGTTGAGCTTTTGAGCGAAATGAGAGATGGTACCAAGTAAAATTGATAAGAGAGAGATAGTTTTAAAATGTAGGTATGCAGATTAAACCATTCTAGATGTAACCGTATATTTAAGATGAGAGTTTAAAAACATTTATTTGTTGATTCTGATGTTATACAGGGAAGACTGATAACTCATATTTTATTACACTTATTTGTTACTCTTGATTAGTATTTTTAGGATTTATTTGAATAAAATAATGATGTTTTGAGTTATTTTACATTTTTAGTTTTTGATTGGGTTTAATTTATTTTTGTCATAATTTTTCAGCTTTACGTTACTTCTGTATTTTGGCCATATCTCGCAGTTGTCGGATTGACTCCGTTCTTGTTGGGTTTTTCAGATAACACAGAGGGCTACAATTCTTATGAAGAGTTCGAAGCCCAATTCGGACTGGAAGCTGGTCGATTTCTTACGCCAAGTCGGACGCGTTTTGCTGAAGTTTTATTTTATTATTGGACTTGTAATTTAAATTAAAACCCAGTTACTTAAGTGGCCCAAAGCCAAGTTTTAGTTTTATTTTATTTATTTTATTTCGTATTTTAGACAGATGGGCCGATCAGAACTGAACCATAACCTGCTTTGAGTAGGGGTATATGACGGCAGAGTAGGAAACATTTTATTCATTCTGAATTTTCGTATTTTGGGATCAAAGTATTTTCTCTGAAGCGTTCTTCGCGTTCTTCATCTTCTTCTTCTTCTTCTTTTTATTTTATTTTAATCATGTTTACCTTAGCCATGCGAGACTAAGAACCTTTTAATCAACATAAGGGTAACGGATTCCATGTATTAGTCTTGAGGGTCTGCGCTTTATTTTAAATCAGTTTTGTTTCCCTTCCCAACTCAGATTGATATCGTGCGATCGTGGATATTCGATCTGAGGTTCGCGATAGTGATTATGGAAAGGGATTAATCATCAGATTTGATGGTTAGATTGATTGACCCTATGACTTTAAATCAAACGGGCTGATACTCTACGATTGTATGAGTAGAAACACCGTATTTGATCAACTGCTAAGCGATCGCTTAGAGAGGGTTGTCAATTGGAAATAAGGATTCTGATTCGATTGACGATCAATCACGATTCTGATATCTTTTTATCCGAGGAAAGACGTCCATGGAACCCTAACCTTAGGTTGGTTAATTTTTAATTACGAATTTTTATTCCAAATTTATATTCTGCCTTTTTAATTATTTAATCAAAATCAAAAACCCCCTTTTTAATTTTCTGTCATCGTAAGCGATTTTTACCAAAACAATTTCCTTGAGAGACGATTTAGGATTTCCACTTTACTACAATTTTTCCGAACCCTAATAAAAAAATAATTTTTAATTTGCGCGAGTTCGACAGCTCGTGTCAAAGATCCATACCTTCTTTTTTATAGTATTTGATTAAAAGATAGACAGTAATAGATTAATTAATTTTGAATCTGGTGCATGTGCTAATTAAGTTTTAATCTATTTTTTTCAAATTTGCATGGACGCATTAATTGGTTCAACAAAGTTCAGTAGATGTTTTAGTTTTTGTACATAATTAATCCTAGTTGCAACAGACCACTGAATGCCAAAGGTCATGCATCAATAAACTTCCCTCTCATGCAGTCAGCATCCCCAAGTGGGGAGTACATTATTGCCCATCGGTTTTGACACCAAAAAAGGTTAAAAAAAATGCGCCAACAAATCAACTTTCACAACAATTTTAAAATATACATTTGACACGGAAAAAAAGGAGAGAAGAAACGTTTCCCGCTAAGATGAACTTTACCTCATAACATTGTCTCTTCATAGTCCAAGTCCCTACACTCATCTTAACTGTGTTTTCAACATTATCTTCTTGCAGCAGTTTCCGAGTTGATCGAGTTAATCAAGCAACACCTTGCCTTTGTTTTAAGCATCCTCTTCTTCCAGCAGTGAGCCACTTGAGCGAGTTAATCAAGCAACAATTTTTTTTATTTTCAGCATCCTCTTCTTGCAGCAGTGAGCGAGTTAATCAGGCAACAGCTTTACTGTGTTTTCAACATCCTCTTCTTGCAGCAGTGATCGAGTTGAGCGAGTTAATCAAGCAACAGCAAACGTACTAAAAACGTTGTGAAAAATCTCATACGGAGGTATATACCGTTTCGATACCGTCATGTCTGACAACGAAAATGAATTCAAAACTCCTTCCAGGAAAAGAGGGAACCAAGGTCGCATTGAATCAAATCAGCTGAATGGTAACGACGATTGATGTTCTTGCGTTTGTTTGACAGTTATTTCTCATTGTACTAACTAATTCATTCAAATGATTGCTGTGTAGAAAATCTTTTTGGGTCTTCTCTCTCCCCTGTTGGCAGGTAATTGTAATTCGTCATAAATATCACTTGCCGTTAATGAAATTTGTGTATTAATGTCAACACCTTTTAGTTAATTTTTATATTGTTCCTTTTTTAAATCCGCACAGCATTTCTGAGGTAGGCAGCATGAGGAATGATATAAGCTGCAACAAACAACGGCTACATAATATTACAAATGGTCTGTTTCGTTGTTCTTTTCGTCAGCAAGTTTCTTGAACGTTGTTTCTTAGCGTAAAGAAGCAATCTTCCATAAACTTCCATTAGTTGTGTTCTTATATAATGGACTTTCTAATTTTATTTATTTTTTGTAGAAAATGTTCCTCCATTAACGGCATCCCTAATTAGCAGGTCAGTTAATTACTTAGGTTAACTCTTTTACTAATTATTAGTGAGTATGATTCCTTTTTTTTTACACGTATAGCGTTGCTCAGATCACCAGTATGAGCTCGCAGTTTGCACGTAATATACAGCCTCTCCATGGCATAACTAACAGTATGTAACTCAACCTCAACTTCAACCGCATATTTTTTTTTTTGGCACATTAGTTTATTTGATTGGATATCACCAGAAAAAGATTTATTATTAATTTAAACATCTCATGTTTACTATAATTGCTTCCATCATTAAATCTCTAAATTTAAATTACTATGTTCAATAAAATTCTCATTGCTGTGTCGACATGTAATTTATATTATCTAAATTGTGTAGAAAATCTATCTCCGTTTAATCCGTCATCTGTTGCCAGGTAAGCTTATTCCGTTTTCTAATCGTTAAAAATTAAAGTTTGTTAAATTTATTGGCAGGTAACTTTACTGCTTAGGTTAATTCATTTAGATTTGATTATTAATCATTTATTTTTCTTTCTATTTTAAAAACTTACAGCCTTGCTCAGATGACCAGTGAACAAAATGAGTTTAGATGCAGTAGACAACATCTTCATGATATAAGTAATGGTACGTAACTTTTTTTCTCCCGTACAGAATCTTGATTGTTGTTACGTAGAAAATGAAAAAAAAAAATATTATGTCAGGCCTGCTATTTTTTGCGCCATAGTTCTGTTGCCATCTAATGTATTTTATCTATGTTGCGTAGAAAATCTAACTCCGTTGACTCCGTCACCCGTTGGCAGGTACATTATGTGTGTTTACTTAGCCTTAAATTTTAGAGATGTTACTTTCCTGATAAAAAACCAAGGCGAACTTATAATAATATGTAAATATATATATATATATATATATATATTAACCAAGCAGTGCATGCGTAAATAATAAGCATACTCTGTCGAGTGTTAGATCAACCATTGCTAAAGATGATATTCATTTTCCTCCCACGGAAGGTAATGTTTTCTGTAAATTCTGCATTTGTTATACATATATAATTCAAATTTCATACAAAGCCTGTATTAAAGTTATATTTTTAACATTTTTTTTGTTTTTTTTTTAAATTACATTTTTTAGATAGCAAAAAGGCTAGATTAAGGCAGAAAGGTATAATGGTTCAAAAAAAAAACTGCTAATGGTACGTAACTATTTTTCTCCTGTACAGAATTTTGATTGTTGTTACGTAGAAAATGAAAAAATTATATTATGTCAATTTTTTTTTTTGCTCCCATAGTTGTGTTGTCATCTAATGTATTGTATCTCTATTGCGTAGAAAATCTAACTCAGTTGACTCCGTCACCCGTTGGCAGGTACATTATGTGTGTTTACTTGGCCTTAACTTTTAGCGCATGTTACTTTTCTTATAAGATGTTAAATCTTTTTTTTAACCAAGCAGTGCCTGCGAAAATAATAAGCATACTATGTCGAGTGTTAGATCAACCATTGCT